GGGGGGTTTCTAAGGGAGGGGTCTATTGTTTTAATTTTAATGAAGAAGAAAGGGGTGCTCCAAGAAGAAAAATGAAGTTTAGGGGGCGCCGTTTCTCTTGTTCAGAGAGGGGAGGGTCTATATCTATCCCTTAGGTCTAAAATCTATGTCTAAGATTTATTTAGTGTGAGGGTAAAATGGGTCGGGCAGACGGGTCGATTTGGTTTTTGGTTTGGGTAGGAAAATTTGGGCCTGATTTGGGTACAAGAACTAGCCCAATATTCAATTAAACCTTTCCTTCAATTTCTTTTTCTTATTTCCTTTTCTCTAATTATTTTTTTTATTTAAGAAAAAACCTAAATCAAATTCCTAAATTAGTATAAATTGTAAAATTTAATTAATTATCTAATTAAAAAAATTATAAAGATCACTTAATCCTAAATTAAAAGAGAAAAATCATTAATCTAAAAATTAAGAGGTAAAATTTAACAATGAGCCATTTTTTGTGATTTTTATTTTTTAATAAAACAATTACTTAACTAATTAATCCTAAAAATATAAAAACAAAACCTATATGCTATGCATGGTATTTTTGATATTTTTCATGATTTTAATAAAAATTAAACGTGCACAAAAATGCAAGCAATTAATAAAATCCTACAAAAATCCTATAAAATGGCAAATAATCGGAAAAAATCTATTTCCTTTGATTTTATAGGAGTATTTCATATAGGGCCAAAATCACATGCTCACAGCTGCCCATCTTTGCTCGGAAACATGAAGGATTTTCGGACAAAGATAAAGTGAGCGAACACGAGTGATTTTTGCCCGTTTGAATACTCCGTGGGAAGCATTTTTTGAATGATCTGACCGAACCTTGCTTTGGAGTGTCACAACCCATTTCCATAACAGATCGTGATGGCGCTCAATACCGTTGTTAGGCAAGCCAACGCGGAAGTATTAGTAAATTGTTATTTTTTACTTACCCAAAACGGTTACAACATTTCTTAATTTGCAGTTAAAACAGATGATAACATGCAACATTCGATAATAATTATATAACCCAAAGAAACGTCTACTAATGTGTGTGCCAAGACCTAGTGTCACAAGTTATAGGCAACTAGTAGAATATACAAAAGAATAAATCCATTCTGTTGTCCGAAATAGAATAGACAACAAAAATAAATAGAGAGAGACTCCATCAAGCTGCTGAACGACACAGGAAGAGGCAGCTCATCGTGGAAGTTTCGGACTAAGAATCAGGGGCACACACCAGACTGATAGCCAGATGTACCTGCCTCAGATCCTGTACAATTAAGTATAAAAGTGTAGTATGAGTACATAAATAATATGTACCCCGTAAGTATCCCGTCTAATCTCGAAGAAGTAGAGACGAAAGGTCGACTTGATACTTACTAAGGTCAAATAATATAATGAAGTGTTACACTAAGCATGGGAGTCACAAATAATCAACAGTTTGTAGCAAGAGGTAATATGTCATGTTCTTAACAATTTTACAATTAGCCATTTACATTTCAAATATTTAACAGGTCAAGTCATGGATAAGATTTCACATAGATATCATGCGCACACTATGCCGAGGTCGACGACCCGATCCAATAGGAAAAAACTGTGCACTGCCAGAGGGTCGAATGACGCGAACCATAGATGCATCCATTTCTACCGAGGCGATCGGCTTGATCCACAAATATCAATTAATATCAAGAAAACACATGAATGCACATTTAATCCCAAGTAAATTCATACAAGTGTCCAACGAGTGTATACCTTTGCCTATATTCCTTTCCAAGTCTCTAGCATGCCCTAAGTGATCACATTAGCAAGAAAATATAGAGACATTCACAAATATAACATGATACGAGTCCTAAACTACCCGGACAATTAACATAATAGTAGCTACGCACGGACTCTCGTCACCTAGTGCATACGTAGCCCCCGCATTTAGCAGCAAATTACTCAATTATTACACCTATGGGGACAATTCCCTCTTACAAAGTTAGAAAGGAGTCTCACCTCGCTCCAAAGTGCACTTCCAATACCAAGAACGAGCCCAAACTCTCAATTTGGAGCAGAATGATCCAAAACTCACGATGCTATGTGGAGATCCCTTCTCAAGAGCTCCAAAATCGCTCAATACCTGAGTGCCAAAATGGTCAAAATGGCTGGAGCTCGACTTAAATGAAGCTCACTGCTTCAGCAGTTTCCGCATCTGCGGTCAGCGGACCGCATCTGCGATCCCGCATCTGCTAGAGGATACCGCATCCACAGAATTGGCTAAAAGGGTTGGGACCACTTCTGCAATCTTGAAGTCGCATCTGCGAAGCCTCTTCTGTGGCTAAGGAGCCGCTTATGCAGTTTGGTTTGGCTAGATCTAGGCTGCATTTGCGAGGCTGCGACCGCTTCTACGGTCTCGCACCTGCGGTCGACCAACCGCAGGTGCGATTATGACAGAAGCAGATGCTTCAGCACTTCTCCAAATTCTCAACTTCACTCGAGCCTTGTCCGTTTGACGCTCGGGGCTCCCGGGCCCCGCCCAAACATACCGATAAGTCTAATATCACGATACAGACCTACTCGAACCTTCGGAATGCACGAAACAATGCTAAATCTAAAAGTCACCCCCTAAAACCAAATGAATCAAACTTATGAACTTCAAGTTCTTAATTTTCCTCTAACGAGCCGAAATGCCCTAAAACTACTCAGATTGACATCAAATTTTGCGGGAAAGTCTTAAATGATATATCGGACCTGTACCGGGCTTTACAACCAATATACGAGCCCGATACCCATGGAATCAATCATTAATTAAATCTTTAAAACTTCAAATTAACAATTTCTGATAAAAAATCATTACTCGGGCTAGGGATCTCGGAATTCAATTCCGAGCATACGCCCAAGTCCCATATTTTTCTACGGACCCTCCGGGACCATCAAATCACGAATCCGAGTCCGTTTGCTCAAAATGTTGATCAAAGCCAAACTTAGCCTTTTAAGAAAATCCTAAGGAATCAAATGGTCATATTTCACTCTAAGCTCTTCCAAATCCCGAACCCACAATCCCCGCAAATTGTAAATTAGTTAAAGTAATTGCGGGAAGTTTTATTTAAGGGAACGGGGTTCTAAAAGGCAAAACGACCAGTCAGGTCGTTACATGGAGGTTGCCTATATATCCTTGGCTATGAAGGAATTAGGTCAGTGTAGTTCAGGAAGTTTTGGTAGTTGGGACTATCAGGAAACTGTGGTTTCACTGCTGTTGCTGCTATTTCTGTTTGCTGAGCTCCTTATTACACCAAAATCAAAAATAAAAAGTTAAACTAGCTAAGTCTATCAACTACGAGTTACAAGATTCCTATTTATGAGTCTTCTGAAGCTTGATCTTGAGTCTTGGTTGGTTCTTCATGTGGACTCTGATCTGAATCTTGATGCTTGTTAGCTGCAGGTGTTGGTTCAATCTTCTTCAGCTTTTTTAGATTAAGACGGGACATGCAGAGTTTGTGACTTCAATTATGTCTTGAGCAAACCACATCTTTTCTCCACTTTGGATTCACTTTTTTTCTTTTATTCTTGATTGAGACTTCTTTTTTGTTATCTCGGACCCCTGTCGACCCGCATTTTTAAGGCGAGCTTCTGCTACTTCTAACTTGAACAGGACTGGAGGTTGCCCTTATTCTTCGGGAGGGATCCTGTTGTCTCTGACTAGAACTTGAAATGAATTCCCTTGTTCTCAAGGTGGCACCTGCTACTGACTTGAAACTTCAAATGACTCTGAAATGAATTCTTAAATGAGTTCCTTTGTTCTCTAGGTGGGCGCCTGCTACTACAACAAACAAAACAAAAGAAATGTTTCTGCCCCAGTTTGCATCGGAAACATCTGTGAGTGTTAATCGAATCCTGTTATCCAAAAGAGTTCTATGAATTTAAAAGCTAAATCCTATTATCTAGGAGGGTACTGAAAACTAAAATTAGATCACATCTTAAGAGTGAAAATTTGAAAGCTAAATTCTATTTCCTAAAGGTAAAACTTACGCTAAATCTCATTATCTATGAGGGTCCTGAAAATTTAAAACTACATCCTATTATCCAGGAGGGTCCTGAAAAACTTTAAAATTAAATTCATTATCTAGGAGGGTCCTGCAAACTTGAAACTAAATCCCATTATCCAGGAGGGTCCTGAAAAACTTTAAAATTAAATTCCATTATCCAAGTGGGTCCTGATTTCAAGACAACTAAAGATTGATAACTTAAGAAAACTAAAATTGGCCTCTTTTTTTTTTTCAAATCTATACTTCCTTTTTTTTCTTCAAATTATCCTAGGAGAAAATTCATCAGACTATGTTTTATTCTTAAGAGAAATATTCATCAGACTAAGATTTCTATCCTAGGAGAAAGTTCATCAGACTAGGTCTTCTATCTTAGGAGAAAGATTCATCAGACTAAGATTTCGATCCTAGGAGAAAATTCATCAGACTAGGTCTTTTTTTTTTGGTATCTTAGGAGAAAGATTCATGAGACTAAGATTTCTATCCTAGGAGAAAATTCATCAGAATAGGGTTTTTTTGTTATCTTAGGAGAAAGATTCATCAGACTAAGACATTTATCCTGGGAGAAAGTTCATCAGACTAGGTTTTTTTTCGTTATCATAGGAGAAAGATTCATCAGACTAAGATTTCTATCCTAGGAGAAAATTCACCAGACTAAGATTTCTATCATAGGAGAAAGTTCATCAGACTAGGTCTTCTATCTTAGGAGAAAGATTCATCAGACTAAGATTTCTATCATAGGAGAAAGTTCATCAGACTAGGTCTTCTATCTTAGGAGAAAGATTCATCACACTAAGATTTCGATCATAAGAGAAAATTCATTAGACTAGGTCTCTTTTTTTTGGTATCTTAGGAGAAAGACTCATCAGACTAAGATTTCTATCCTAGGAGAAAATTCATCAGACTAGGATTTTTTGTTATCTTATGAGAAATATTCATCAGACTAAGACATTTATCCCAGGAGAAAGTTCATCAGACTAGGTTTTTTTTTTGTTATCATAGGAGAAAAATTCATCAGACTAAGATTTTCTATCTTAGGAGAAAAATTCATCAGACTAAGATTTCAATCCTAGGAGAAAGTTCATCAGACTAGGTCTCTTTTCTTTTCTTTTTTTGGTATCTTAGGAGAAAGATTCATCAGACTAAGATTTCGATCCTAGGAGAAAATTCATCAAACTAAGATTTTTTTGTTATCTTAGGAGAAAGATTCATCAGACTAAGATTTTTATCCTAGGAGAAAATTCATCAGACTAGGTTTCTTATCTTAGGAGAAAGATTCAACAGACTAAGATTTCGATCCTAGGAGAAAATTCATCAAACTAAGATTTTTTTGTTATCTTAGGAGAAAGATTCATCAAACTAAGATATTTATCCTAGGAAAAAATTCATCAGACTAGGTTTTCTATCTTAGGAGAAAGATTCATCAGGCTAAGATTTTTATTAGGAGAAAAATCCATCAGACTAGGACTTTTTATCCTAGGAAGAAAAATGTGAAGATCAATGGCAAGATTTTATGCACAATAGCAAGACAAATAAAGGCAAAGATTTGAGAAACTTCCCTTTGTCGGCTCTTCTCTTCTTCTTTTTTGATCCACTATCCTTGCACTGGTTTGTTCCTGTTTCAAACAAACAAAAATTTGTCAGTTTTGAAACTGGTGGTTGGTTTGTGGCCTTGAGTCTTGAGCAGCTTGGATTTTGCTCGATCAGCCTGAATCGGTCTCAAGAGACTTTTGTTCTGCACCAACTCTGATTGTTTCACACCCAGTACCATTTGTATTTGCAGCTCAAACAACCTTATCCCAACTGGAGATCTTTGCTTAGGTGACCTTTTCTGATATCTTGAATGACTTCCTGCTTTTTGAGCAATTTGTCTATCAGAGAGAATCACAAGTTATCTTTGCTTGCGCCAAGTTGGCTGACAAGAGTCTTTTGGGGGAGCCTTTGCACGAATCTTCAAGGCATGTTGACAGTAACAACTGAGTGTGCTGGCCAAATTTACTTTGTGCAACTAAAAGCTGGTAGCAGATTTTGAAATCTTTTCTTGCTTGTTTTAACAAGGACCGAACTCAGAGTGAAGGGACACAATGATGCAAAGAAACATTATCAACAAAAATGCCCCTGTCGGGAAGGAAAGAGGGAAGAGTTTTTTCTTTTTTCATTTTTTTTGTTTTGCACTAACTAGCCTTAATGATCATGATATGCATTTTGGACTTAACAACATGATCTATCCAACTAATCCAATCTT